GGCACACACTCACACAAATCACTTAGCTAAAGAAAATGGAGGAGCCAGGCATGATGTTGCACAAGCCTGTCATCCCAGCACTCAGGAGGCTGAGGCAGGAGGATCACCATGAGTTCAAGGCCAGCCTGGGCTCTACAGTGAGTTCAAGGCCAGCCTGCACCACACAGCGAGACACTGTCTCAAAAGACACAAAAAAAGACAGAAGAAAGAAAAAATTTTCCTTGTCCCTGCAAAGGGCAGAAAGCTGACTGGGCCCTGGGCACCGGAGTGCACATTTAGTTTCTTTCCTGCAACAGAAACCTCTCAGAAATAATGGGTGTTTGGGCTCTGACATGGGGGCTCCTCTGTCAGGGGCAGGGGACATCACCAGGAAGTCCTTTTACACCACTGCTGTGTGGAACTAGCCTCTGAGGAACCTCCCCCACCTCCAGGGGCACAGCCTCACACAACCTGCTTGGGAAGCCCTCCTGCATCAGCCTAGCCGTCCGGGCGCACATGGAGACTTTCCCATGGCACTTGCTGCTGAGTGCACTGCTGCCCGGTGACATGGAGCTGGGACACCTGGCTGGGCCGCCAGGTGCTAGCTAGAGTGGGTGATGGTGCACGCCTGCCAAGCGGTGCTCTGGGAGGCTGAGGCAGGAGGGTTGCAAGTTTCAACCCAGCCTGGGCAACATATAGATTTAGCAAGACCCTGTCTTGATTAGAAATTAAATAAATAAAATAAAAATGCCTGGGGCAGAGGAGGCCAAGGACCAGGGGGCAGAAGAGGAACTCTGGGAGCAGACTCCCCATCGCTTCTTTGCCGGCGCTGCTCACAGCAGCAGAAAAATTCAGGGCACAAGAAGTTCCGCGTGTTTGGGGGCACAGCCCAAACATCCTGGTCCCCCCCAAAGGAGATTCCAGCCCCATTCGCTGCCCTGCCCCACTCCCTGTCCACACTCCTGACAACCAGGAGCCCACTTCCTGTCCCGGAGGATTTCCCACTTCCTGTCCCGGAGGATTTCCCACTTCCTGTCCTAGAGGATTTCCCAGTTCCGCACGTTGCACATCAGCAGAGCTGCATGCTGCGTGTCCTGGAGCAGCTGTTTATTCCATCAAGCACTGCCACCTCCAGGGCCATCCACATAGTAGCAGAAGACAGAACCACACTCATTTTTCATGGCTGCGTAATATTCTACCACGTGACCATACCAGGTGCTGTTTATCATTTGGGTTGTTTCTACAACCCAAAGGGATTCTTTTTGGCTACTGTGAATAATGGTGCTGTGATCACTGGACACATTAGCACCCCCCAAAAGGAGACACCACACACCCCCAGTCCTTCCCAATCACTAATTCACTTTCTGTGCCTCTTGATCTGCTTATTCTGTGCCTTCACATTGAGGGAGCCGCACTGTCCGAGGTGTGTGGTGTTGGCCTGTCCCGCTCAGCACTCTGGGTTCAAGGTCCACCCACAAGGTGGACGCTGTCAGAGTCCTGCCCCTTCCTACTCTTCCTTCCTGGAACCGGTATGATGCATTCCATTTAATAAAAATGGAATGCTCCAGAAACAGCCTCGATGCCTGCCCACCAACAAAAGAAAGCAAAAATAAAACAGGGTGTAGACACACAATGGACTATTATACAGCCCAGAAGAAGCATGGCTTTAGCAACGTGGGATCTCAGCAGCGAACTATGTCACTGACCAACCTGCGGTAAAATTACATTTTGCTGAATTGTACATTATCAGTAAAGATAATGACTCAGCATCGTAGCATCTGATTACTTTTTCTCAAGTGTGCATTTTTCATTTTGAAGCAGGGTCATACTGAGTCACTAAGTTGTCCAGGCTGGCCTCGAACTCATGGAGATCCTCCTGCCTCAGCCCCCAGAGTGCTGGGATGCCAGGCATGCACCACCATGCCCCAATTTAAATGCCTAACTTGTTGAGTAACAGCATTCCATCTTTTTCTCAGGGAAAGGAAGAGACAATAACAGAAGGCTTCAGAAAAATATTGAACTGACACACGCTAGCTGTGTATATTCCAGGGTACCACGCTCACAATATTCACCCACATGCAGCCTGTGAACTTCAGTTTGGGGCAATCAGCTTTTCCAACACCTTGAATGTTTGTCTGTTCCCCGTGCTGGGAAGCTTTGACCTCTAATTGTCCTTAACTTTCAGTGTATTAGAGATGGCTGGAGAGTATGAGCATCTTACTATGCTACAGAAAACGGGAACGATTTTCCTCCTCTCTGAGTATATTTTGATCATTTCCCGACAATCTCAGGTGATCACGGAGCAGCCCTGTGCAGATGGCACTGCCCAGAAGGGGTGAAATCTCTGCTTCCCAGCAGTGCAGCCGGTGCTAACTAAGCTCCAGAAACAACCTCGATGCCTGCCCGCCAACAAAAGAAAGCAAAAATAAAACAGGGTGTAGACACACAATGGACTATTATATAGCCCAGAAGAAGGAGGGCATTGTCTCAATCTCAGGGAAATGGATGGAATGGGAGACCACTCTATTAAGAGAAAGATGATGGACACAGAACTTAACAAGGAGTTTCTCATATACAAGAAAAAAACAGCACTGCTCTGTTATGAACTGCAAGCATACATGCACAAAGAAACAGAAGTAGCCGGGGATATAGCTCAGCGGCACAAGTGCCTGCCTGGTAAGTGTGAGGTTGTGAGTTTGATTCCCAGTACCCCCCTCAAAAAAAGTGAGCAGACATTTGACATAATTCAGTGGGGGGGAAGGAGGGTGCACTCTACAGAAACCAAGGAAGAAGACCCAGCAAGGTCGGTCAATGGTGAGAGACAGGAGGCAGAGGTGGGCTGGGCTCTGAGGCTGCCCTCTGGGGCATCGTTTTCTGAATATTTCTGAATGTGACTCTGAATGGGATGAAGTTCCCCAAGGAGAGCCCAGGCTTTGGGCGTTGGGGACCCGGATCTGTGTTCTGGGAGGAAAATGGAATATTTATACACAGTGGAGTACTACACAGCCATGAAGAAGGATAGGCTTGGGCCCTGTGTAGGAAAATGGAAGCAGCTTGAGACCAGGACGCCAGGTGGAATAAATCAGACCCGTGAGGTTCAGTATCACATGGCTTCTCTTCCGTGAGAGACACAGACTGCAGGTAGAGCACAAAAAAAGGTAAGTAAAGAGCTTGGTGATTCCTGATGTTCGTCTTCGAGCTGAACCCTGGTGAGTTGAAAGGGAGATCAGCCAGGATCTCCAGGCCACGGAGTCCAAACCCAGCCTCCACAGAGGAGAAACCACCCAAGCCACGCCTGGTCCGGGTGCCAGGAAAACCAAACAAAAACCAACATATCCTCTCAGCCCAGAAAACCCCTCTACAATGTCCGAAAAGAGAGAAAAGAGCTTTATTGTTGATCAGGTACAAACCCCAAACTAAGGTGTGTGTGTCACTGTGTGTGTGTGTGTGTGTGTGTGTGTGTGCTGGCAGAGCAGCCCTTTTGGAGCCATGAGGACCACAAACCACTTTGCTGATTTCCAGGCCTTCAGGACCCTCAGGGAAGCTGCCCGTGTGGTGACCCATTTACAAAGATTTGCATGCATTTGAAAAAGAAAGACCACGGGTATCCAAGGCTGTCAGGTCGGTCCGGTTGCATTTGCTCTTCTGCAGGGGAATGTGGACGGGAGATCGTCTGAGGCTGTCCCGAGAAGATCTGGGTCTTCGAGGGACAAAGGGAGGGAGTAAAGCGGGGTGTCTCTGACCCCAGCAAGTCCCCAGTCCTCCTTGTCCACCACAAGCTGAGTAACCCGGGCTCTGAGCTGAGATTAGCTCATTCCATGGACCATGGAGCCATCTACTGGCTAGTCTTGAACATGCAGCCCTCCTGCCTCAGCCTCTGAAGCAATCCTTCCTGGGACTAAAAGTGTCCACCACCACAGCTGGCTGTATTCACTTTCGTTCTGCTAAGGAGCACTAAATTTTATTCTGTTCTGGTCACGTTAACTCCAGCCCTACAAAGGCTGCATGAACTGATTATTCTGTTGAGGGTGAGTTAGGTTTTCTTCTAGATGTTTGCATTCAGTAATGAATTCAGTAATTGTTCTGCTCACACTGAATAGTTTTATTTGTTCAGCAGGTATTAACTTATACGGAATTACAGGGGGGAGGAAGGATGGATGGACAGATAGACGGACAGAAATAAGATACTGAGATAAGCACATGATAGAGGATAGATACATGCATAGATAAATGTGAATAATAGTGTCTTTCGCTGCACTGTCCCGGTCGCCTCCATGTCCTGAACGGACTCAACACGTTGACCTTTCCTGGTCACTTTGACCTTGCAGAGCAGCTGGAGTCGCTCAGTGACAGATCTGGTGACTGAGGTGGATGAGGACACAGCATCGTGTGTTTAGGGGCTGCGTTTTCTCTGGATGTCGCTCGGCAGCAGCTGTCAGCGAGGAAAGACCCTCAGGAAGGAGGACTCCAGAGCTGCTGCAGAAAGCGGCCAGGATGGCGGGATGAGTGTGCTCAAGGCCGGGAGGATTTTGAGGGGGTTTGGGGCCACGTGTTTGTTACCATAATGCATTTTTCTTAAACATGCACCGGATATACTGACTGCACTGCGGATGTTCACACTAGGAGACAAGATGCTTCCAGAATCATTTTCTAAGGAGAACACAGAGGTATAAGGTAGGAACCGCCATCACTACACTGGAAAACCCAGGAGACTTCGTGGAAGTCTGGGGTGGTGGACGCCTATGTGAGGGTGTGTCAGCTTTCTGCAGCTGAGACTTGACACTCACAGTTTAAGGGAGAAGAAGTTGATTGGGCTCACAGCTGCAGAGGGTGCAGTGCATGGTCGGCCGCTCCAAGGCAGGAGCATCATGGCGGACGGGCGTGGGGGAGGAAAGATGCTCACATCATGGCACCGGGAAGCAGAGAGAGAAGGGAGGAGCTGGGGACAAGAACTCACCCTTCCAGGTCACACTGAAGTGACCACCTCCAACCAGGTCCCGCCTCCTACAGCACAGTCAGCCGGGAGCTCACCCATGATGGATCCACCGAGGAGCTCAGCGCCCCGTGATCCAGCAATTTCCAAAGATAAAGCCACAGAGTTTGCAGCCATGGGTATTGTCTGCAGAAATACTGCGTGGCTCTGCTATAAAAGACTGGGAAGCACGGGAGACTTTGCTCTTTATTACAACTGCTGCGACTTCACACTAGCTGCAGGCCCCAGGGGAAGCAACTTGCGGGCCAACATGGCATCATAGACGCTGCCCGTCCTCCTCAACCTGAAGTCCCCGAAGCCAGCAGCAGCCAGAAGCGTGTGGTACTGGCCCGGGGTCCGCTCCCGGCCCTCCGTCTGCAGCAGCATGTTCAGGGAGAAGAGCAGTGTGGTGCGGGGCCCGCGCCGGTCCTCGTCCAGGACACTTTCCACCACAAGGACGCCACCGCCTGGGGGCGGGCACAGAGGAAGTGACCCGCCCACACAGGCCGTGCCCAGCGCCCGGTGCACCCCAGGGGTCCTGCCCACCCAGAGCCCTCACCTGGCCGGCAGACGCGGTGAATGCGGGCCAGCAGCGCCAAGCACTTTGCGTCCGCCCAGTCGTGCAGGACCCTGGCCAGGATGTACAGATCGGCCTCCGGGAGACGGTCCTGGAAGAAGTCTCCTGTACACGGCACAGAGCAGGGCCCCGCGAGTGACCCCTCCTCAGCCCCGGGCCCCACACTCACCCTGCTTCCTGCAGCAGCTTGACCATCCGCACTCTGATTCCCCGTGACAAACGCTCCCCACTTACAGCAGACCCGGCCCCAAATAAAGAGTCCCATCCTTGGAATACACCACACAACAAGCGCAGAGCACAGGGAAGTCCTGCGTGCGTAGGGTTGAACGCTGTCTTTAATCACAAACCACACGTTCTGATGACTGCGGACTGTCTGTCCTCTGCTTTGATTTTTTTAAAAGCACCATGTAAAAACATAATTGAGGAACCAGATACAATGGCTCATGCCTGACATCGCGGTACTCCAGGAGGCTGAGGCAGGAGAATCACGAGTTCAAGCCCAGCCTGGGCAACTTAGTGACTCACGGAGACCTTGTCTCAAAATAAAAAATGAAAAGGGGCTGGGGGTGTAACTTACTGCGGAGGCTCTGGGTTCAATCCTCAGTACTGCAAAAAAGGCAATTTATTTTGGAAGCTAAGTTTTCAGGGCGCTTAAATACTGGGCATGGAGCGTGATCAAAAGTGATTTCTTCATCTTAAGCATGGGGGTGGGGGTGCCTATTTTGGGGGGCTGGGTAAAACAGATGAACTAAAGAACTGTTATTTTTTACAGCAGGGGGAGAAACGGTATCACTGTTTGTGGTTTAGGTGACACCATACAGGACCGATATGCCCCCTGGTGTGTCCATACTCCCTCCATGTGCCCCAGGGGAGACTCTCCTGCCTCTGCCTCCTCCCGGGCCTCCAGGCAACCATGGGCTCTGATCCCATCACTCCAGTCTCTGCCTCTGCCGTCACCTAACTTTCCCCTATCTAGGTCTCCATGTCCAAATTTTCTGTTTTCTCACAAGGACAAACTCATTGAGTTTGGAGCCCACCCCTATCCAAGAGGGCCTCGTCTTAGCTAATTCCGCCTGCTGAGACTTTCTGCTCACTAACATCACAGTGAACACACAGGCAGGGATTTGGAAGGGGCAAGGTCCCGATTCAACCTAAGACCACACGTAGGAAGTCACTGATCACACCTCCACAATCAACCTGTGTCATCTTGCATCCTCACAAATAATGACAGACACTGGGAGGAAGAGGAGCTGCGGAGTGGAGGGAACCACGCCAGACCACCATGGGCACCACCCGGGAGCTCCCCAAAGGGAATTTCCCCCATGGAAACGGCAGCCCCGCCCCCTCACCTTCCTGAAAGCTAATCCGTCCCTCCTCTGGGAAGTCAAAGTGCGTCTTGGCCACCCGCACCACATCTGGGATGTCAAAGACGGTGACCTTCGCATCTGGATACACAGAGATGCATTCCTTGGCCAGAGCCCCGGAACCTCCTACAAGAGGACACACAGCGTGGACTCTCAGCAAGCGTGGAGAAGCTCTCCTCCTCCCTTTGGTAAACCTCCGGAGCCAGGAATTGCTCCCCATGATTTGTACACAGGTGTGCGTGCCTGGGATTATGGTGACTCTTGCTGTCATACAATTGGGGAGACTGAGGCAGAAGGGGAAGACCACCTTCCAAGGTCACAGGCAGAGCAAGAAGTAGAAGCTACTGCAGGATCTAGCTGTCTGGGGTCCAGATCAAATCTCCCCGAGGCCATGGGTGGTGGTGAAGACTGCTATGTGCTTGAGTCTAAGTTTTCCCTCAAACAGCTCCTGTGATCTGTTCCACCTGGTTTCCTGGGTGTCCCTGTGTTAGGCCGAGCTCCCATCACTGGGACAACATGCCCGACACCCACAACTTAAAGGACAGAGGTTTAATTAGGCTTATGGTTGCAGAGGGTGCAGTCCATGGCAGGCTGCTCCAAGGCAGGAGCATCATGGCAGATGGGTGTGGAGGAGGAAGGACACTCACATCATGGTGGCTGGGAAGCAGAGAGAGAAGGGAGGAGCCGGGGACAAGAACTCACCCTTCCAGGTCACACCCAGGGACCACCTCCAACGCGGCCCCACCTTCTACCTCACATTCTGGTATGGATTCATGCACTACCTTAGTCACTTTGTGGTTGATGAGACACAATACTTGATCACCACCACCTAGAGGACAACTTTAATTTGGTTTATGGTTTCAGAGGATGCAGTCCATGGTCAGATGCTGCAAGGCAGGAATAACGTGGGAGATGTCCCTGGGGGAGGAAAGATGCTCACATCATGATGGATTGGAAGCTCTGAGAGAACAGAGGAGTTGGGGATAAGAACTCACCCTTCCAGGTCACACCCCAGTGAATGTCTCCAACCATGCCCTGCCTCCTACAAGATAGTCAGCTAGCTACTCATCCATGATGGATCCACTGAGGAGCACAGCGCCCCGTGATCCATCACCTTCCAAAGCCCCACCTCTAGAGACAGGAGACTTTTGGGGGACACTGTAGATCTACACCCTAACACCTTCAGACCCAAGCCCTACAACTGTGTCTCTTGAGTGTGCCTGGAACCACAACTTCACTGCAGGCAACTCAGCCAAGCCTGCTGAGCCTGCGGTTTCTGCACAGAAAGAAGCCACCCCAGTCGTGGAGGGACCATGCTGGACCACCACAAGTCACCCTCGGCAGATGTACCAAATGGAGACCTCTGTTTCCATGTTGGGGCTCACGCATGTAGCGTCCCCGTGGGAAGGCAGCACAGAGCAGTGTCCAGGGCAAAAGAGCCTGTCCCAAGTGGAGCTCCACAAGCAAACTCCTTACCTAACCCTAATGCTCTTCCAAGGCCTCCACCTCTGCACGGCCTGATCAGATTAAATGTCCACCTCCTTCACACCTTACAGCAGGGATGAAATTCCAGCACATGAGCCCTTGGTCACCCCGTGATTCAACCATTGCTGATGTGCTCAGCATCCGCAGCTGTGTGGCCCGTGGGTCAGAGGCACCTACGGCAGATTGTAAAAAATGCAGTGGCCCAGTGCCTTGTGGAATCCGCTGGGGAGGTCCACACTCTGAGTTTCAAAGCGCCACCTGAGAAACACAGCGCCATCCACACCCTCCTCCATGAACTCCCTGCCATTCGGGCATCTTGGAACCCATGAGGGCCTTGAGGGTCTAAGGGAGGTTTTCCCACATTCTAAGTGTGACCTCCTTTTTATCCTTTCATTAGCTTCTTGTACAGCGTTGAAGCAAAGGTTGCCGAGGGATTTACATGGAGACGGTCCGTCTCACAACGCGGGAACGGTCCTGTGCACCATGAGCCTGGGTGGCCACCCGGGGAGGAGAAAATTCTGCCTACAGAACCTTCTAGTGAGTGAAAACCGAGTCTTCAAAGTCATCTCCTTTCCCATTACTTTGTCATGCTCTGTGAGAGCACGGGGCTCCCTGTCCTAACATAGACCCACATTTGTAGAAAATTTGAGGTCTAATAAGACCAAGAGAGGAATGAATCCTAGCCATTGAAATGACAGGAGGTTGCTCCCAAGAGGATAGAGATTGCTGCTAAACTTTGCATCTGGGGTGTGCCCCCAAAGGCCGTGTGTTACATGTGATCCCCAGCCCACAGCACTCTACAGAGGAGGTGGAGAACTTTGGAGGTAAGAGACACCAGTCTCTCTTCCCAAGCCCAAAACTAACAGCAGCCGCTGACCTTGGACTGAGCCTCCAACACCGTTACAGGACGTGATGTGTCTTGGTCACTTCCCCACAGAGGGGGCCAAAATATCCACGGGCCACACGGCTGCGGATGCTGAGCACATCAACAGATGAATCACGGCGTGACCAAGGGCTCGTGTGTTGCAGTTCCACCCCTGCTGTGAGATGTGAAGGAGGTGGAAATCTAATGCGATGAGGCTGTGTAGAGGTGGGGGCCTGGGAGAGGATTACGGTTAGGTAAGGGCTGTGCTAAGCAGCGCTTTGTTGCTGTCACAAAGTGTCCAAGACACATCAATGCAGAGGAACAGACCTTCAGTTTGGTTCGAGGTTTCAGAGGGTTCAGCCCAGTGTGCAGTACAATGAACCTTTCTTTTTTACAAGCCCACCACCCACGTATTTGTTATGGTGGTGGGACACTGACCAGCACAGATGGGGAAGGGGGAAACACCACACTTGATGAGGAGGGAGATGGAAGAAGGAAAATGTGGAGAAGGAGCAGGTGAGGTGAGGTGGCCATGTGGAATAATTTCAGCAGCTCTCTGGTGAGGGAAGGTGGCCAGGTGCTTGGTCTCCAGTCCCCAGGTGATCAAGGCAGGTGGATACTGGTGTGGTGTGTGACCCCCTGTCAATAGGGTGGATGCATGGATTCCATATTGTCCACGTTGCGTACAGTATATGCCAGGGAATCCAATAACGAACGTGGTCATCACCCTCTTAATCCATTGTGGGTACAGAATATGAACCACAGCTCTGACATCAGGGTTAGACGCTCACCTCCAAGGTCACAGATGAGCGGGAAGGGCGACAGGTCAAACGCCGTCATCACACTTCTCCCGCTGATACTCCAGACCTCCTGAAGACCTCGCATGAACTGTAACTGCTCACCCTCAGACCTGGTGTGCAGAAACACACTGGCGACAATCACGCAAGCTCCTGTGCATCCAGGGTTAGCATTAGCAGCAGTTATCCTGTGCTGGACCTCACATGCCTTTGTAACTATCCTTTGCATTCATAAAATGGGACCCGTATGTCTTGGTTTCTTTCCCATAGATAGGAAAAAATACCTGACATGAACAACTTAGAGGAGGAGAGGTTTATTTGGTTCACGGTTGCAGAGGGTGCAGTCCATGGTGGACTGCTCCCAGGCAGGAGCATCATGGCGGATGGGAGTGGGGAATAAAGACGCTCACATCATGGTGACCGGGAAGCAGAGAGAGAAGGGAGGAGCTGGGGACAAGAACTTACCCTTTAGGCCACACCCTAGTGACCACCTCCAGTCAGGCTCCATCTCCAAACATACTTTTGGGGGAACACGTCTGAGCTAAGCCATAATACTACCTCACCATAGAAGGATACAGTTAAGGACGGGGACTCTGACCTCAGCCAGGGTGGCATCCACAGCTCGGGGCCACATGTACAAGAGTCTGAAATAATCAGAGTTCCGCATGGGTCATTTCGGCAGGGGGGCCCTTTCGATAGGAAGAGGAGTTCTGATGTTTTGTGAGAGGAAAATCAAGAATGCACCCCCACCACAAATCTACAGAGTGTTAAGCCAAGAAGGCCCACACATTTGGGGCAAAGGCTCCAAAACATGGCAATTGGGGGAGGCAAGGATGAGGAGAGTGGAGGGGGAGGAGATGGAAGTGAGGAGCAGCCGGGCACCACGGGTAGATGACGTTATGGTTTGGCCCTGGAGTGGCCCCAAGGGTCATGTGTGGAAGGATGATCCCCAGCCTGTGCCACTACTGGGAGGTCCTGGACACTATAGCAGGTGGGGCCCTGGTGGGAGGAAGTGATGTCATTGGTGGGGGCCTGGTGGAAGGAAGTGATGTCATTGGTGGGGGCCTGGTGGGAGGAAGTGATGTCATTGGTGGGGGCCTGGTGGGAGGAAGTGGTGTCATGGGGGGGGGGCTGGTGGGAGGAAGTGATGTCATTAGTGGGGACCTGGTGGGAGGAAGTGATGTCATTGGTGGGGGTCTGGTGGGAGGAATTGTCATTTGTGGTGGTCTGGTGGGAGGAAGTGATGTCACTGGTGGGGGGCGGTGGGAGGAAGTGATGTCACTGGTGGGGGGCGGTGGGAGGAAGTGATGTCATTGAAGACATGGCCTTGAATGGGGTATGAAGGACCCAGTCTCTTCCTGTCTCTCTGCCTCCCTCCTGCCAGGATGTGAGCATCTTTCCTCCCCCACACCCTTCCACCATGATGACTCTGCCTTGGAGCCCCTGACCATGGACTGCACCCTTTGAAACCGTGAGCCACGTTAAACCTGTCCTCCTTTAAGCAGTGGATGTTAGGTGTTTTGTCACAGTGACAGAAAGCCAGACATCGCAGAGGAGGCGCCCTGGACAGAGCTCCAGGAGTGGGAGGAACTGTCCTTGTCTCTGAGGAGCCTCTGACTAAGAAGAGACAGAGAAGAAAGCAAGGGAGGAAGAGAGGAGGGAAAAGGGAAGCACAGGGAGAAAGAGACAGATGGAGGAGGGGACAGAAAGGGAAGGAAGAGGAAATGATACGGAGGGAAAGGGAGTGTGGAGAAGGAAGGGAAAAGGGGAAAGGAAAATAGGGGAAGGAGAGGAAAGGGACAAGAAGGAAAAGTTGGACAGGAGGAAGTTGTGGGGAAGGAAGACAGGAAGAACAGAGCAGAGAAGAGGAGGAGGAAAAGGAAGGTAGGGGTAGCCAGGTGGGTGCAGTGAGGCCTGGATGTCCCTCCCCGACACACTCGGTTCCATCTCCTCCTCCATCCTGAGCCACCTGGAGACACCACAAGAGGCCGTCAATTCACCTCCTTCTCATAATGCAGACGCCAGAGCCTCCCACAAACCACACAGCCAGGACCCTCGATGCAACAGAAAGCCAAGAACCGAGGCATTGCTGAGGGAGTGCTGGACCAGTGAAAACCAGGTCTCCATCTTCAACTGTTGCTGGGCTCTGTGTCCTCACTTGGGGGGAAGGTGCTGTGGTTCCCATGGAGATGCCCCCAATGCCTTGAGCACTCATAGGTGGGGCTTTGGGGAGGTGGTTGGGTCATGGGTTGTGATAGTCATCACTGAATTAGTCCACAGATGGGTCCATAAGTGAATAGGATGTTGGGAGGTGGAGTCTGGGAGGAAGAGGTGGTCACTGGGGAGTGACCCAGAAGGACTTATCTCCCTCCACAACTCCTCGTTTTCTCCATGCTTCCCGGCCACCATGATGTGAGCATCTTTCCTCCCCTACGCCTATCCGCCATGATGGTTCTGCTTTTGAGCTAGCTGACCATGGACTGTACCCTCTGCAACCATGAGCCTAAATACATCTCTCCTTCTCTAAGCTGTGAGTGTTGAGCATCATGTCTCAGGGATGAGAAAGTGTCTAACATGGGAAGATTTTGCTCCCCCTTGGGAGTTTAGACACTGCCAACATCCCAGCAGGAAAATGGGAGCGGGAAGATTATTTCAAATTACCTATCGGTTTCTCTGCATGTGTTCTTACTGGAACCTGTTTACAGTGTCTTGTAAGTGACAATCCCGTCAGAGGTGGAGGCTCTAAGGGGGTTGGGATTACCTGTAGATGGCGGTAAAGAGGTCATGAGAGGGAACGCCGAAAGCCTTCTGGTACTGATTCTTGCCTTCTCTGCGAAAAAGAGGAAAACCTCTTACTCAAGGAGTTAGACAGGTAACCCCAGGTGTGAGGGCACATGCCTGTCATCCCAGGACTGTGGGAGGCTGAGGCAGGAGGATGGCAGGTGTGAGCCCACCCCAGACAACATAGCAACTTAGCAAGACCCTGCCTCAAAATAACAAGTAAAGAAAGAGCTGGAGTTGGAGCCCAGTGGGAAGAAAGCCCTGGGTTTATTTCCAGTAGTGTACCATCTTATGCCTACCGATCAATCATCTCTCCATCCGTCATCCTTCCATTTCATTTCTATCATCTATCATATACATATTTCTATCTGCGTATCATGTGTGATTTACCCGTCCATGCTTACCTTTCTATTGTCTCTGTGTCTATATATCTATGCATCTCTCATCCGTCAGTTCATCTATCCTGTCTCCCTATGTCTCTGTCTGTGTTTCTCTCTCGCACTCCCTCCCTCCCACATTCTCTCAGTGGTTTCTGACCAGGTGAAAATGCCGTCACCCTCCCTGTCCCAGGGGACGCATGGCAATGTTTGGAGACTTTTTCCTCGTCACTGCTAGGTGGGGTTGCTCCGGGCCCCTGGAGGAGGAGCCAAGAGACCCCACTCCATCCACGCCCTCCAGCACCCCACAGGGAACAACCGAGTCCCACACGTGACATAGACGACCTGACGTAGACAAAGCCATGACCGTCAGGGCCAGTTTCTCGGCATCCGTGTTCTGAAGCACCTTCCTCTCCCTCCTCGCCTGAGAAGGCAAAGTAGACTCCTCACTGGGTGAGAGGCCACTGCTGAGAGAGCCTGGGCAAATGCTATGGGTGCACACACCACGTGGGTTCAAGTCTCTGATGTGGGTCTCCAGTCCCACCAAGGAGGGTTTTACTTCTACAAGAGACCCAGCAATTCAGGTCCTGGGCCCGGTGCGCACCTCACGGCCTCAGCCAGGTGTCCCCAGCAGCGGTAGGTGGTCCTGGCCATGTACAGCAGCATGTGGCGCTGGGACTTAGGGCTGGGGCTGCTGAGGTAGGTGCTGGCCAGCTCTGTGTTGCTGTAGAAAGCTGAAAACAAACAAAGAGAAGAAAGAAGAGGAGTTCGAGTCCAAGTCCCGCCCGGCCACGCCACAAATCTGCCCCCAACGAGGCGCTCCCCAGACTCCCCGGAGCCGGGCTCCCAGTGCAGGAGGAACGGAGGCCAGGGTGACTGGACAGTGGTCAGCACCGTGCTGGGTGAGCTTACGCCAAACCCCACTGGAAGTATTATGGGCTGGGCACAAATAAACAAGAGTGGTGTCCGGGGCTATATTCTGTGGACCTCTTATTTTTATTTATTTTTTTATTTTTTTTTGCCTTTTTGAGACAGGGTCTCACTATGCAGCTCAGGCTGGCCTTGAGCTCACTTTGTGGCCCAGGCTGGTCTCCAACTCACAACAATCCTCATGCCTCAGCCTCCCGAGTGCTGGGATTACAGGTGTGCGCCACCACACCCAGCCTACATGGACCTTTCAAATAACAGCTAAATGGACCAATGGGGTGAAACCATGACCCTTAGGATGGAAGCAAAGATGGTGGCCCTGGCGCTCTGCATAGGCAGGCGGACATAGCAGAGAGAACTGAGGAGAGCCACCTGGCACAGATGGCCCCCGAGCTAAGCGTAGGAAAGCCTGTCTTAGCATAAGAGGGTCCATCTACCAACCCATTGACCCGCCCACCCACCCAGTCATTCCTATGCCTCTATGTATGTGCCTGTCCGTCCATCTACCATGTCTATCTACTCTATTTATACATACTGACCATGGATCTATTGTTACATATCGTCCAGCAATCGTCTGCTGCATCTCTACTTATTCCTGTATATCCATTTTCTATATACTTATCAATCATCTGTCTGTGCGTACTCGTCTATCGGTGAAGTGTCTGTAGATCTACCCAGTATCTTGCCATCATCTGCCTGTGCATGTGTCATGTATTTGCCCATTTATATCTATCCATCCATTGTCATCTGTCACACATCCATTGATCACGTGTCTGTCAGTATATCTATCTATCAATTATTTATCTTTTCACCTCATTCAAGCTGTCCATCTATTATTGAGGTATCTATTTTCTATCTACTTACCTGTCATCTCTCTCTGTGTGCTGGTCTCTATCATCTATCCATCCACTCATTCATCTTTCATCCATTGATTATCTGCCCCATCCATCCATCATCCATGTCTATCATCTGTCTATCCATCCATTCATCCATCCATCGATCCACCCATCCATTGATCCACCCAATCATTCAATCTATCTATCTATCTATCTATCTATCTATCTATCTATCTATCCATCAGTCTATCTTATTCAGCTACCTATCTACCCATCCATCCATCCACCCACTTATCTACCTATCCATCCATCTACTTATCTACCATCTATATATCTATCATACTACTTTGTAGCCAGAGTAAATTTTGTCACTTCTCTCACATCCTTGAGCAACTCATCAAAGTCTGAGACATTTTTCTCACCACCACTGGGACTAAGAAGGTGGGTACCCCGGGGACGAGTGGTCCTCTTTGTGACTTGGTCACTCTGTTCGTCTTGGAGTGGGTAGGATGGATTTTTCTCTCCGTGAAGAAGGTCCTCCTTACCCTTAATGCCCAGCCTCAGGACTGGCATCTCCACCATCTCTGAGCAATGTGCAATCAATCACCTATTGAATGGTGGGAGGGCACCTTTCTGGGCCGTGTGGGAGGAACCTGAGTGTTGAGCTGGCACAGGCTTGTACCCACTTTGCCCGTTTGCCCTCGTTGACCTGGTGGACAATGGCTCTGGCGATCCCTTGACATTCAGGTGCTGGGAATGGGATGGTGTCAAGAGGTGCAGCCCTTCCCAGGTTGAGGCTGTTCAGGGTCCTCCCTAGAATGGGCTAAGGACATTCTAAAGAGCTGGGTGGGAGAAGCTCATCTCCTCTGTTCTTCTACTTCCTGGCATGTGAGGCCCCAGAGCTCCTCCCACCCCAAGGATGCAGCTCTCCGGGCAATGTATGGGAACCAGGGAGCAGCCCTCACAGACCCAGGACTGGCCACACCTTGATCTCAAACATCCCAGCCTCGGGAATTTGAGTAGTGACTGTCTGTGGTCAAATCCTCCCTCCTGTCCATGGCATAGAATTATGGCAGACCAAGTAGATAAATACAGAGATAGACCAGCCCTGTGATCCATCTCACAGATCAAATGTCTGTGTGCCCAACAAAATTCCTGTGTTGAATCTTCATGACCAAGGAGAGTATGTTTACTTTGGCTTATGGTTTTGGATGGTTCAGTCCATGGCTGACTAGCTCCAAGGCAAAAATATTATGGCAGAAGGCGTAGGGAAGGCAAGATGCTCACCTCGTGGTGTCCAGGAAGCACAGAGAGACAGAGGAGAAGGTACCAAGGACTGGGTTTGTTACTCTGAGGCAGTGCCTTCCTTCTTCTAACTGGGTTCCTGGTCATGACAGACCCTCAAGCCATGAGCTCACTAATGGATGAATCCACTGAACCCAACAACTTCATGACCAAATCACTTTCCAGAGCCTCACCGCTGAACACCGGAGATTTTTAGGGGACAACCCAAACTTAAACTCTAATAAAGGGGGTACGGCTCAGAACACTGAAAATTTTACTGCCTGCTTCTTTGCAGAAGAGTGTTCACATTTAAAATGCAGCCTTCTTAGAAATGACCAATAAAAATATGAAGGAAAAAGTGTTCATTATCTTTTGCCATTAGGGAAGTAAAAATGAAAAGAACTCTGAGTCTGTCTGATCCCAGTCAAAATGGTCACCTTAAGAATACAGGAAGCAACAAGTGCTGGTGAGGATGCTGGGGCAGAGAGGGCTTTTCTACGTGTTGGTGGGAATGTAAGCTAATACAACCACTCTGGAGATCTGTGGAGATTCCTCAAAAAATAAAATCAGAAATTCAACTGGGCCCAGTTACAGCTCTTCTGAGCATGTTCCTGAAAGAGTTAAAGATGTGAGAGTTCAGAGATCCATGCACAGCCACGTTTATAGCAGTGTAGTTAATACCTAAGCTTTGGAAACAGCCTGGATACCTGGACGTGGATGAATGAATGAAGATAGTATGGTATAGATACACAATGGAGTACTATTCAGCCATTAAGAATAAAATTATGCCAATTCCAGGAAAATGGACAGATCTGGAGACTACAGTGTGAAGTGAAAGAAGTCACACACAAGGCTAAATACTGTGTGATTTGTCTAGTATAAGAAGCCCAACACATACGTAAATAGTAACATAGAGGAGAGATGGTAGGTAACGGAGACAGAATGTTGGAAATGGGAAAGGGAACCACAGGGAGGTGGAAGGAAAGGAGGACAGCAAAGGAAATTGAAAATGATCTAGATAGAATTCATGTACCCATTCCCCAAAATGAATGCAAACATTACATGCTGCAACACACATGAAAGAGGAGGAGGAGGTGGAGGAAGAGGAGATGGAGGAGGTGGAGGAGGAGGACATGGAGGAGGAGATGGAGGAGGAGGACATGGAGGAGGACATGGAGGAGGAGGACACAGAGGAGGAGATGGAGGAGGAGGAGATGGAGGAGGAGATGGAGGAGGAGGAGATGGAGGAGGAGATGGAGGAGGAGGAGATGGAGGAGGAGGAGATGGAGGAGGAGATGGAGGAGGAGATGGAGGAGGAGATGGAGGAGGAGGAGATGGAGGAGGAGGAGATGGAGGAGAAGATGGAGGAGGAGGAGATGGAGGAGGACATGGAGGAAGAGGAGATAGAGGAGGAGGAGATGGACGAGAAGATGGAGG